CTGCCAGTCCCAGCTAGACTGTAACACTTGGGTCTTTCTGGAGAGTTAAAGCCCTTCTCCCAAGGTCAGGGCAGAAGGACTCTGAACCCAAAGCCCCTTGCCTACTTCAGCTCCCTTGGCGTCTCCTTCTCACTCCTCCATCCTACCTATACCTTGCCCTCAAGCACTGGAGGACCTCAGAGTCTCCCCGCTGCCTGTTTCCTACACAGCCTCTGCCCCTCAGCTTTTCTCTCCCCTTCAAGCATCCTATGGTCCCTTCTGAAGGTTGCCTGTTGGCCTGCGCCAGTCCTGTCTAGAGCCCTGTCCTCCTCTGCCCATTATTTCTTATCTTGGGAGATCAGACCCGAGAGGCCCATGTCACACACCCAATGGCCCAATAAAGGTTTGGAATCTCCCTGCTGCTGCCAGATCCCTAGTATCTGTGCCCATCAGGGCCTTACCCCAGGCATGCACCTGTAGGGAAAGCCACCTGTAGCGTCTTTTTTTTAAAACTGCACTTTATTTGGGGTGTTTAGGCCTCTACCTTCCTTCTACCAACTGCCCAACCTTAAGTAGGAGAGAGAAAAGGTTTGTGGGGAGAGGAGGCCCAGACCCCTTTACTTCTCCCTGCTAGTTAGGGTCAAGGGGTTCTTTTCGGGCTCTATACCCATCTCCATCAACTGCAGACACAGCTAGCAGTCTCCTCCATGCTGCTGCGCCCTGAAGCATTTCTCTCTGTCTGTCTGCTCCAAGCAGCCACATTGTCTCTGGTCTCTGGTCTCTCCAAACTGCTCCACGCCACACACCAACACCGAATGCCACACCAAACGCCTCGGTCTCGTTCTCGCTCTCACATTTATACTCTGAGTCCTAGACCACAGCCCTCTCTGTGCCCCACGTGGAAGGCTGTTACCAGCTGGCAAAGATCACGCCCGGCACATGACAATTCACAGGTGTGGACAAACTGTAGCCCAACTGAAATCCCACACTTAGGATTACAACAAAAACCTATTTACATAACAGTCCTTAGTTTACAAAGAAACCAAACTTTCATTACATGTACCACAGTGGGCCTCCTCCTCCGAACACTAAGAGGACACTCAGGCTATCCACATGTCCACTAGAATCCATCATTCCCTGACCCCCAGCCTCAATTGGCCTCCCTCATAGGGGCAGGGACTGCCAAAGGTACTGACTGTCTCCACTGCCTCTAAGGAGTATTGAGCACAGCTTAAACATGGTCTCCAATGAATGCCAATGAATGCCCAGCTAAGATTGCCACCCTGTGATCGTGAGCTATCTCTTAGTCCCCAGTGAGGGCAGGGTACCCTCAGACTCGGATACTCATGGAAGGGTGGGTGATCAATGGATTTCGGGTGGATAGGACAAATGACCATCAAGCGATGGTCTTATTTCAGTGTGGGTCATTTAGGGTTGCTTGTACCCCAGGCCTTCCATACTTAAACACTCCTGGAGGCTCCACATGGAACAGTGGGTTTTCCACGACAGGGGCTGTGCTGTGTCAAACCCACATGACTAAGCACAGGGACAGAGTAGCCTAGAGTATACTGTCTTGGGTATGTACGTCTCAGAGAGAAAGGCTTTCCTGATATTTGTGAGGCCCTGGATTTGTACTTAGCACAGGAAGACAGGAGAAAAGACAAAAGATGAACTAGAAGGAGGCAGGGGGAAGCTCATGGGTTCAGGGAGGCCAGAAGTCCAGGTGCGAGGTGTGCAAAGGGCTGGCTGGCGCCCTCTGCCTGCACCATGGAGGATCTGTCCTAGGCCTCAGGCCTGGCTTCAAGCTGGCACTCCCCTTGTCTTTGGCAGCAGGCAGAGTCACAGTAGTCCTCGTGAGCTGTGTTCATCTGTTCAGACTGCCCTTTTTCCATTCCTTTTTCAACCATGACTGAATTTTTACTGAGCCTCTTAGTTTACAGCATGAGGTGATAGGAACGACAGAGCCACTTTGCAGCGTTTTACACAAATCTAGAGAAATGCTTTCAGCTCCGAGGACTTAGGGTTTCTCTCTCGTAAAAGCTGGATCAAGAGAACTGTCGTTGACTCCTTGAGTTTTCCACTGACTCTCCCCTTATTATAGTCCACGAGCTCTAATTAGTTATGCAGGTCTCAAGGCTAATTTTACCAGCATTTCTGGTACTGTGGGTCCAGAGCCCTGCTATTTCAATCAATGGCCACTAATCCTGCTTCAGAAGTGAGCTGCATTCGTGGAATCTTGGCATCAAGCTGTCCTCTCCCTCTCCAGTGCCCATTCTGGCTCACTGTCCAGCTCAACCTTTTCCCTGCTCACAACCCCACCGTGCTGACATCTTAATGTCCTCTGATAATGTCCTTTGCCTGCTCCAACCTAAAGACAAGGACTCGGTGTCTTTGAACTTGTGTGGATATTGGTATCAACATCAGCCTTGTCCTGTTGCATTCCTTCTTGGGGACAGCTGGCTTTATCTCCATTTTTTTTAAGATCTCTGTACAAATTTATTTGACCCTTCCCATCTCATTTGGTTCATCTTCGCTAAGCATATTTTTCACCGGCCGAACACTTAATGCTTTGTGTATCCTTGCAACACTTACTTTTAAAAGATGTTTACAGGCCCTGATCACATGGTTCTCATTAGCGTCCTTGGCTACATTTTAATGTTTCCTAATAACTTATGCTTTGCAAGAAATGGATCTCAGTTTTGGTCCTGCAGAAACTTGGCAGTGTCCTTCTCGGGCAGCTGCTCCACAGCCTGTGGCTGCCGAGAAATTGCTGCTCTCTCCCTGCTGCCTGCTTTACTCCAAATTGCCCTTTTTAGAAACCCAAATCTTATTGGGTTGGGGCCCTCCATACTCTCATAAAACCTCTTTGCAATGAGTGACATTTGCAAAGACCTTCTCTCCATGTAAGGCCATACTCAGAAGTATGGGGCTTTGGAAGTCAGCTCATGCGTTTAAGGACAAGTGACCCTTCTTCCACGCTCTGACATCATGTCATGAGCTGCTTGCTCGTTGACACTCCACCTCTGCCATCTGGCCACACAGCCTGCAGCCGAGAAGCCCTGCAAAGAAGCATACAAAGTCCTGGCAATATACCCACCTGCTACCCTAAATCCCCACAGTTTGAGAGTTAAGCCAAGACTGCTGCCCATTTTATTAGCAATTCCACAAACTGAGAATGTGGGAAGCCACGGACGACCCTCTTCACTTACTGGAGTTTAGACCACAACACTAAACAGAGAACTCTCTGAGGAAATGAACATCTTTCACTGTGACACCAATCCCTGCAGCCTCAGACCCAGGGCGGGATGAAAGCCAGGCTCAGATGGGACTTTTCATACACCAGTGCTGTGGGAAAGGGGCCCATTCACCAGTGTCCCTTCAACAGCCATCCCACACCAGCAATTGCTACCAAAGCCCCCTCCCCAACATCCCCTATCCAATACGCCCAAACCACAGTCCCCTCACAAACATGTCTTTACCAACATCAACCATCACACCCTTACCAGCCTTCTCCCTGACCTACCAAACATCGCTACATTAATCCCCTTCTATCAACATATCTCCTTCTATCAACATCCGTACCTCTATATCCTCAACCATATCTGTTACAAAGTCCCTCTACCATGTGCTCCTAGCAATGACCTCTCACAACTGTCCTGTCACTAGATCCCCTTACCATAGCACCCACAACCACACACACACACACACACACACACACACACACACACGTATCCACGCACGCATGCACACATCCTCTGGGACCCAGGTTGCTGCTGTGAAGGACAAACAGAATAAGCTCTGAGATACACTCAAGCAAATGCTCCTCAGGGCCAGCAGGGGTCAAAACCCCAGAACCACAGTATCATTGACCTGTCTCTGGCAGGAGCACAAGCATTTTTTTTTTTTTTTTAATATACAAGTTGGCCACAGCCCCTCACTGGAACTGGCTCCTTGTTAGGTTCAGTCTAACTCGTAGGAATTTCCTGCACTGAAGAATCCCACCCCTTTGCCTGCAACACACACGAAATGCCCATTCATCTTGTTTCACCCTGGTCCACGATGTCTCTTTCCAGAAACAAGTGAGTTAAATTTTCAGATAGTAAATCTATCCTAAAAGGCATTTAGATTTCCTGCCTCACTTAAGAAGAAAGCAGCACACTCTGTTTTCTTTTTATAGCCTGTGTTAATAAGTATAACCATACTTGGGACACTTTTCTTGGAATGGCACATCTGAAAGTCATCAGGATGGCTTACTGGTAATAGAGAGGAGGGGCGGGAAGTAACGAACAGGACATCTGAGGATGTAGGGAGGGGTGAGCCCTGGCGAAGGTGTCATGGAAGCTAGGAGTAGACTATCTAGTGAAGAAAGAGAATGTCCTCACCATCCTCAAGAGCCAGACACTCCCCAGTGTGAGGGGAACACTTACAGTCCCTGTTCCTTGCTGCACGGCTGTGCTGGCTTATGTCTTATGTCAACTAAAGTTATCTGAAAGGAGGGAACCTCAACTAAGAAAATGTTTCCACAAGATCCGGCGGTAAGGCAACTTCTTATTTAGTGACTGATGAGGAAAGGACCAACCCATTGTGGGTGGGGCTACCTCTGGGCTCTCGGTCCTGGGTTCTATAAGAAAGCAGATTGAGCAAGCACAAGGGGAAGCAAGCCATTAAGCAATGCTCCTTCGTGACCTCTACATTAGCTCCTGCCTCCAGGTTCCTGCCCTGTTTGAGGTCCTGTCTTAACTTCCTTTAATAATGAACAGCGATATGGAAAAGTAAGCCAAATAAACCCTTTCCTCCCCAACCTGCTTCCTATTCATGGTTGCTGTGGTGAAAACTAAGACAAAGGCAATGGTTCCAGCACCCAAGGCATCCTAGAGCTGGTTGCATCCTCCGTAAACTCTGCATCTTGGGACGCTGGTGGTTTCACTTTATAACTCACAGATCAAGGGGTCCCATGGCCGTGCTCCCAATTGCAGTCTCAGCCCTTAACCATATCCCCAAACCAAGCACGCCAGGCAGGCTTGTGTTCAGAATTTACTAGAAGCCATGGGTAACAGAAGGTGTGAGATTGAATGCCTGCAGGACAGAACCCCAATCAGGCCCCACTCTCTACCCTACCCCAAACTACCTCCATCGCATCTTCTGATCCTACATAGACAGCTGTGTGTAGAGCACCAACCTGGCAGTGCAGATGTCATGGCTGAGCCTGCCCCCCCCCCCCAAAGCTAGGCTTGGACCACTTAAGATAGGTAAGGAACACTGGAAGTTGGACCATCCATTTGGGGAGGTCTCTTCACTCCTTCCGGGCTTCTAGGCTACGAAGCAACATTGCAGCCTGGGTCGTGGCTTCCTGCAGAAGGCTGGAGATTCGATGGTGCATCTGTAGGACAGAGGGATGTGTCAGCCTAACACCATGCTTGCTGTGGCCTGCTGCTCCTGACAGAAAAATCCTGGGCTCCCGCTGCCACCTCCCCATGGCATACAGTGACGAGGGTCATTTTGGACATCCACTCCTGGATTTCTCAGTGTGGGGAGGAGCTTTGGGGGCAGCCATACCCAATGACCCTCCACAGAATTCTAGCCCATTTTTTTTCTACTTCTCCCCAGACTGCTGAAGGTGAGCTGTGTCCATAGGACAAAGAGAGGTAGGGCTCAACTGATTCATACTGTCTAAAGTTAATCGGAGAGTGGCTAGACCCAAAAGACAGCCAATTGCTAGCATCCCATGTAAGAACTGATCCCTTAAAAAGGCCTTTCAAAATATCTAAGAGACAGATGCTTAAGAATGGGGTAGGGAACAGTGTGTCTGCCAACTGACAGGGGCTTCCTTCAGAGTGATAAAAATGTCCCGGAACTTGCTAGAGCGATGGCTGTACGACACTAGGAATGTCCACTGAACTGTGTACTTTAAAACATCCAACTTGTATGTTCTGTGACTTTTACCTCAATAATACAATGAAAATTTGTTGTGTGGCTGTTATGAATGCTAAGGTTCGCATCGTTCCTTAAAGCCATTGTTTCTCTAGTTCCCAGGGTGTTGGTGCGTGGGGGTCCCCAGCCTGGTGTAGCTAAGCTTTCAATTCCATCATGAGAGCAGGGCAGGTTGGTGTGGGTCCTGGATGTGGTGCTATCTAACAATTCTTTATCTCCTTGCCAGGACTGGACCCGTGGAAAGGGAGATGTCAAAGTGTGTCAGCAGGCACCTGGTCACCCTGTCCCTGTGGCCCCTGAATAGATAGCAAGGACCTCGTGAGAGTCAGGCCTGCCCACAGTAGACATGGAAGCCCCCCTCCACCCCCGGGTGGCATCAAGCCTGCCCCCTGCCCACCTTCTCTTTAAATGCATCATCAGTCACGTCCTTCAGGTTGGTAAGCACATTGAAGTATGCACCGAACACACCCGTCTCCAAGGCTTTGGCCGCCACCTGAGGAGACGCCAGAGAAAGGGGGCTGGTTCTGGACCCACAGTGCCTCTGCACCTCTTGAAAATCTCACCCCTCGTGTCAGGACTCAGCAAGCTGAGCTCTCCCTCTGGTTGACAGGCAACGGCTCCAAGCAGGGTCCTGCACTCTCCACACCATTAGACCTGACCCTACCCACAGAGACCAGGCTACCATGGTCATTTTGGTCTTTAATTTTGGTCATTTGGTCATTTGGTCATGGTCATTAAGACCTGAACCTGGAAAGGGAATGTAGGCTCCTGGAAGCCTGAGGAAGCCGTGAAGGTTGGCAGTATGCCCTAGAGACTGTCAACGCCTCTGTACCTGCCCTCGGCAACTGTCAGCCTGCAAACTAGGGCCACTCGCAAGAATAGTGAATTTCTTCAAGGCCTCAAGACTAAACACTGAAGTCAACTGCATACTGTAGGGTCCCTGGGTTAGCTGCAGGAGTCATAAGGTATGGCTCTGTTTTCTCCCATCCCCCACGCCAGACGCAGATGCGTGATGTGTACTTCCCATAGACTGCCACAGGTATTTCCCAGGACGTGGGGATAAGGGTATATCTGTAACTGGAGGCTTCATGGGAGAGTGTTGAACCAGAATGTGAATACCACCCTGAGTTTCTGTGACTCCCTGGCACCCCTGTACCTGTAGGTCGGACAAGCAGGCCAGGTTCCCACACAGGGCCAGCTCCTGCAGCACTGGCCATAGCTGGGACACAGTCTCTGCCAGGTTCATTGGTACAGCAACTGCCAGTCTCAGCCCCTCCTGCAGGGCACACGCTCGTCTAGAAGTCAGGCAACGATCTTTGAGTTGGGAGCAGGCTACATCCTGGCCCCAGCCAGCGCTGTCCCTTCCCACAGGCTGAGCACACAGACTCAGGAGATCAAAAAGAGCATCACTCACTGACCACGGTGCATCTGGACCAAATTCCTAGACACTGAGACCCATGGCCCAGAGGGTCCAGCAAGGCCACCTGGCCAGAGCTGTGCTCACCTGTCCCTCTCTTCAGACGTGTTCTTGGGCATTTTAATTGCTTCCTACAGGGGGAAAAAAAAAGACCAAAGCAACATGGTAAGTGGCCATGAGGGGCTGGCTGTGTCCCCTGGCCATGCTGGAATAGCACTGAGGAGGACTGTGTCATGGCAGCTGAGGGCCGCACTTGTCCACGGCCACCAGCATGGGCATTCACAATTGAAGTGCACCCTGTGCTACTGGCCACAAGCAAGGACATATCCCTCAGGGATGATGTTTCTGTTGGTAGCTGTGGGGCAACAACTGGGCCTTGGCACCGGGTTCTGGGTGCCATTGGCCCACATGACAGGTGAGCACATTGTCTGGGGACCTCGTTTCTAGAAAAAGACACCAAGAGCCTTAAAAGGTCCCTGAGTCCTTCCCTACTAGCATCCTTTCCCACAGTACCAGGCTCTCCTAGTGCCAACTCTGATTTAAAATAACGCAGACAACCTTACCATGCTCGGTCCAAACACAAAAGAGAGATGCTGATGCTTGAAGCCAGAAGGCCTTCTTCGCTGGCATGGTGCCATACCCCTTGCCCCTGGCCGTGGGTAGACCTGGCCTTTCTCCTGAGTGACTGCTGGTATGGTTTGCAACTTCACAGGAAGGGACTCTGTGTGGGGTGAGTGCTGTAAATCCCAGCCTCCCGCTGCACCTTTTTCCATCTTGCAGGACAGGACAGAACGGGATAGGACAGCACACGGGGCAGCTGACTGGGGGCGAGGGAGGGGCAGCCACTGTGGTTTGGTATATTTGCCCAGATCTCCACCCGGAAGTCCTGATCAGTGGCCCTGCTGTCAGCCATGAGTGACAGAAGCTAAACAGACACTACGCCTGCGGCTAGCTTGTCACACACTCCTCTCCTCCTACGTGGGGAACGTGGTACTCCATCTAACCCCTTGTCCCTCCCTCCCTCCCACAGCCCTGGTAGTCAGCTCTGGTTCCTAAGTTATTGTAAGTTTTGCTGCGTTTTCTTTTTTTTTTTTTTTTTCATTGTTTTTGGTTTTGATGAGAAACATATACATAGCTAGCATTTTCATCCAGAAATTCTTAAGTACTTAGTGGCTCCCTCCTTCCTTGTTTGTTTGTTTCCAAAAATCCATTTTCCAGATGCACATGAAGGACATTAGTCAATCAACACTTACACAAACGTCATGTCATATTATTTTATATCTTCTCGTACACTTTTGATGTTTATTGTGGTTTTTCTTTGCTGCCCTTCGGTTAATTTTTCTCTCGTCTGACTCTCTCTTTTCGTTGTTTTTCTGAGTATTCACCTTATTTCTTCTGATTTCTAGTGTTAGAATTGTCTCTGAATTTCTAATACTTATATCTAAACTAAGATTCCTCTTTAAATGCCTATCTGTGACTTTATATCTCTGCCTGTGGCTGTGTGTATGTCTGTCTGTCTGTCTCTGGGTGTCTTTCTGTACGTCTGTGTATTCATGTGTCTCAGTCAACTCTGTTCTTATCTCTCTGCTCTACCTCCACCTCTCTGTGTCTCTGTCTATGTATCTCTCTGCCTCTGTGTGTCTACCATTCTGTGTGTCAATCTCTGTGTCCATTTGTGTGTATGTGTCTCTGTGTGTCTTTCTATGTCTCTCTGTATATGTGTACCTCTCACTTTTGATCATCTCTTTCATCTTTTCAGAGTCTGGCCCTGCACCCTTGCTCTGTCCTCTAATCTGCCCACAGCCTGTAATTACTTCTCAAGATTGCTTTTTCCACCTCAGAATTTTCCTTATGCTTCCTGTTATCTTATGGCTGAGGGGTTCTTTCCAGTCTAAGTCCCTAATCTCCATGTTTGTTCTGTTAAGATTCCTATGACCTCCTTAGAGCTCTGCTGGGGAGGCCAGGACAGGGGGTTGCTCCTGAGCCTTGTCCCTTACCAGGGTATAATGCTGGCCTCCATGGTAGGCCAGATGACCTACAGGCTTCCTAACAGCAGGTCTCTAGAATCCAGGGCACAGCTCTCACACACCCTTGGCCCGGAAGCCAAGATCCTGACTGCCAGCCTGTGAGAAGAGTTTGCTCTTGCAGTCAAGGTTGCTAGCCTGTATCCCTCTAGGATCTCCAACTCCAGGGTCCCCCATTCTGGAGTCCTGCCCTCCAAAGCTTTTTTTCCCTGGGTTAAGGTCCATGCACTCCAGGACGGGACCCTCAAGCTTGCAGAAAGTAGGGGCTCCTAGAATAGTGGCAGATCATGCAGTACCTCTGGCCTCTGGCGGCAGATTTGCAAGCTTCTGTGGCTAACAGGTCCGAACACTTACCAAACAGGCAGCAAAAGCCTGGGCATCAGCATCTACCAAGGTGGTGAGCTGGGCAGAGGCAGCATGGAAAGGTGGGATCAGGCGCCTCATGGTGGAGTCCAGGTGATCAAACTGTCGCCGCCCATAGGTCATTTGGCCCACCATAGAAGCCAGGGCTGCTCCCTGATAAGGAGAAAGAGGTGGGGGTCCTGGCTCAGGGACTGTCCTGTCCTGCAGCAGGGAACCCCAGGCTGGAGGTGGAACTGTTGATTCTCAACCCGCAGGGTCCTCCTCTCACCCCTCACCCCTGCCTGAGTCCCGCCCTCCAGGACTTCCCACTCTGCCCCACCCCTGTCCCCACCCTGCCCGTCCTGGGTCCTGTCCTCTGTAGCTCCGCCCTCGGGTACTCACCAGGGCTGCAACAGCCGCAGCCACCGAACCGCCGCCGGGGGCAGCAGAGCGGGCGCCCACCTCCCGAACAAAAGCACGCAGGGACTTGTCCAGTAGGCCCTGCTCTGGTCCACTAGAGGGAACCAAGTACCTACCCGGTGGGAGAAGCTTTAAAGAGGGGAGACGCGCACGCACCCTTAGCCCTAGCGTCAAGCTGAGAGCTAGGAGAGAAAAGCAGCAGGAAGGCCAGGAAGGGGCGGGACTGAAGCACGCAGAGAAGTTGGAGGATCGGGCATCAGGCTTAAGATTTGGGGACCAGAGATGTGAAGGTGAGGAGGAAGTAGAAAGTGGGGGAAGAGAGGTAAAGCAAATAAAAAAGAGTCAGGAAGGGAGCAGAGTGGGGGAGGGGATGTGAAGCCTCACTCACTCGATGATCCGCTCCTTTGGGTCGAAGGGTGCCAGGGAATCCAGGCCCAGCCGGTTCACCACCTGGAGAGGTGGACGGCTAACCTTAGCCCACAGCTTCGCTCAGCTTCACCTTGACAAGTTTTGCCTCTTAGAGGCCCAGCAATCTCTGATGTCATCACCTGGCACCTCCAGGTGTGTGCTGGATGAAAAGGGCCCCTCAGACTCCCTGCTAACTCTCTCAGTTTCACTCACTCTCTCTTGTCTCTCTCTGTCATGGGAGCCGCCTCCATCTTCTCTCTCTCCCTTCCCCTTCCCCAAAATAAGCCTTCTTCATACCAGATCTGTTGTGTGGCGTGTTAATCATTATTATAACAATTGCCCCATTTAAGATTAGAACCCATCTCAACAAAGACCAGTAACCCTTTACGGAGCTGTACAGCAGTGACTGCAGGTCTCGCTTTCTAAAAGCAGAAAGGGACACACACACACACACACACACACACACACACACTTGAAGGACTCAAGCAGGTGCACCCCAGAGGAGCACACAGAGATGGGTAATGGATGCCACCCGAGAGTCAGGGCACAGTGAGGAATTCGTGTCATGAAAGGATGAGAAGATAAAAAAACGATATCTCCGGAAATGCAGCCACCCCCAGGGCAGATCCTGGGCCCATCGTATTGAGCAAAGGTGCCGTGGACAGGCAGAAATGGACAGAGTCATTTGTAGATGGGACCAGGGTAGGGTCTGTGCCTGGGACGTATGTATCCAAACTTATAAACTGTCAGTTATAGGGGTGTGAGGAACCTGCGGGAGGGGCCTGGAGGCAGACATGGCTCTTCAAAGGAGGAGTCAGCCCAGGATTTAAGAAGGCGGAAAACATAAAGTTTACAGAGTACAAGTCAGAAAAGAAACCTTGATAATGTTCTTCTAAATGACAATGAAAATGAAAAATTCTTCTAACTACAAGTCAAGGGCTGGCGACAGAGCTGGGCAGTGAAAAGTGCTCGCTGCTCAAGCGCAAAACCTTGAGTTAGACCCCCAGGACCCAAACAAAAAAGAAATAGATAGATAAATGGATACATAGACAGATACATACATACATACATACATACATACATACATACATAAGTAAATAATAATTAAAAATTCTGGCATGGTGGCAAGCACACTGCTGGCAACTCCACTGCCTGGGAAATGGAGACAGGAGGCCTAGCCCTAGGTCAGTGAGAGACCTTGTCTAAAAAAAAAAAAACAACACCTCAGAAATGAAACACACTCCACACCAAGTCAACAAAACAAAGGAGACGAAGGAAGAAGGGGATTTCGGGATTTGGGTGGGCACGTCTGGAAACACCAGCTTGCTCCTGGAGCAGTTGAAGGCCTACCCCCCCTTGACCTCTCAAATTCCACAGTTCCCAAAATGAGCACAGCCCACCAGCCGTATCCGGTGCTCCTCCTCCAGAACAAACAGGTTCTCCTTGTCACAGTAGAAGGCTGCGGCATCCAGTAAGGCCTTCAGAGGCACCAGGCCCACTAGCTGGGAGCCCACCACTGGCAGATTCAGCTCCTGTGAGACAGAGGTGAGAGGTCAGCGTCTGGGGGTCTCCAAGTGTCAGAAGGGTGGGTGGGGCTGCCCTACCCACCTGAGCCTCCCTGCAGGCCTCCTCATAGACTGTGTGCAGAGCTGTGACCTCAAAGTCCAGGAGGTTTGTGGACACCTGAGCCAAGTTCTTCTCATCCAGGTACCAACCGATACCCTGAACCTTTTTCAGACATCCTGGCTACAAAAAGAAATATATACATTCCCCAGCCTGGGCTGAGAATTTCACCTCTTGATGGCCCTAGCCCAGCCTTCATAATGCCTGACTCTGAGAGCCTCTTGTATTTGTGTTCCCTAGTCAAATGCATCAGACAAGGTGGCCCCAGATGGCTGGGTTCACACTGTGGCTCTCTTTGACCTTTCTATCTTCCTTGGTTTGGCTAGAGAGCTGAGGCAAAACCTCCCCAACCAAATGAAAACTGAGTCGCTCTGATCCTTTCTCTTGGTTGACCTAAAGCAGGAACTCTGACCTCACCTTTGGAAGGGGCATACAGAGGACTGGAGGGTCATAGTGCCTCATGTCATGCTTACAGACAGCTGATGCTGCAGGGAGCTAGGCTCCTGGAGCCTCTCTGCCTGGTACGGTTTGAGGCTGGGACAGATGGAAAGACTGGAGCCTCCACCTTCTTTCACCAGGTAGGTCTGGGTCATCCGTGACTGATACGGCCTCTGGAGAATCCATGCTCAAGCTAGCTGACAGCTTCTATGCAGACTTGGGGTATGGTGTGTGTGTGTGGCAGGGACTTAGAGCATCTAGAAGGGCTTGCAGATGTGAAGACATCTGAGACTGGAAGGCAGCTGTTTACACAGAAATCTGACCCTTTTTGCTTCTGTGGAAAATGTCGTGAAAACAAAGGCTCCTGAACCGGGCATGGTGGCACACACAAGCCTGAAATCCCAGCACTCTGGGAGGCAGAAGCAGGCGGGTCTCAATGAGTATGAAGCCATCCTAGTCTACCAAGTGAGTCCAGGGCATCCAAGCCAAGGCTACACAGAGAAACCCTGTCTTGGGGTGGGGGGAGGATGGGCTAGGGCTATTGGGGTTAAAGAGATGGCTCAGGGGTTAAGGGCATTTGCTGCTTTTCCAGAGGACCCAGGTTCAATTCCCAGCACCCATACGATGGCTCATAATCATATGTAACTCTAGTCTCACGGGACCCAGTGCCCTCTTGTGGCACACATGCAGGCAAAACACATACAAATCTTTTTTTTTTTTTTTTTTTTTTTTTTTTCCTAAGGGGCTCCTCAATATCAAACACTGAACTCTGACCCTGAGGCCCCACAGGGCTGTGACATTAAGGTGAACAGTCTAGCCAGAGGGTTCCAAGGAAGCTCCCTGGGGGATGGGACAGCAAGCCGGAAGCTACCCACCTGGTCCTTCCCTCGGCCCTGCTCCCGCAGGTTGAGAGCAATGCGATGGGCCTGTTCCTTGGTACTGAGCAGGTTGATGTTGAACGCGATGAGGAATTTCCGAGCACCCGTGACAGTGGCACCCCAACTGGGGACAAAGGAACTAGGGCCAAAGTCAGGCGCCCACTCGGTCTTTTTGAGCTGCGGGAACATTCACCTGTCAGTGAGGTGGAGGGGCCCCAGACCTACCCATTCTCCCCAGAGGGGGGAAGAAATGGCAGGGGAGGCCACCTTCTCACACCCAGCCCACCTATGTGGGGCGGCACCTTCTCAGGCAGGGCCTCATACTCTCCAGCCCGGATAGCCGGCAGGGTCTGGCGACTGGGTGTCCGAGCTGCCTCTCCGTAGAGGTACACTGGAAAGGAACCCAACTGGTCAGGTCTTAGCTGGGTAGAATCTAGTATCCTCAATCCCACAGGGCCCCGGCACGGTGGCTCCTTCCGACTTCCGCTGGGGGTAGATTTATCTCGGCTCACTTTCTCTGAGGAACCCCACTTTCTCCATACTCTTGGAGTGGGTATTGCCATGCAGACAGCATCGCAAATGCCTCCCAGTGTCATTGAATTAGACACGGTCTAGGAGTTGGGGTAGTATGTGTTGTGAACGCTGGTGGAATGCTCTCATGTTTCTCTTTTAAAATGGACGTTTACTGTGTGGTGGATCCGTCCTCAGAGGAGGAAAAAAAAAACCAAACAAACAGAACTTGCTGTACACATGGGGCCTAGTCTCATATGTTAGCTTGTGTTTGTGGCAGCACCAGGGCCTGGCTGGCTCCCACCCTGCTCTGCCTGTCCTGGAGTCTCCCCCAACACTATGCTGTGCATTCTGTTCCTAGCTTGCTCCTCAGCATTTTCTTGATCCAATTTCCCAGAATGAAACCTCCCCCCCCCCCATTTTTCATGTGTACGGTGTGCTTCTGAGCGTGCACCTTTTTGCCTTTGTGTGGGCTCACGGACCTGTGTGTGCACACATGTGCAGGCCCAGGGTTGATCTCAGGAACCGTCCTCCATCATTCTCCAACTTTATTCATTGAGGTGGATCTCCCAAAACAAACAAAGCGAGGACACCACCCAACAAGCAGAAGCAGACATGCTGGCTGCGCTCTCTCATGGTTGTGATTTCCGTTTGTATTTGCTTCATTATCTAAGAAGCTGGGGGTTGTGACTTGCTCACGGTTATTTTAATTTTTTTCCTTCTTTTTTTGGTATTGGTATCCACATTCTTGTTTTGTTTTGTTTTGTTTTGCTTTGTTTTGCTTTGTTTTGCTTTGCTTTGGAGATAGGGTCTCTTCATGTATCCTAGGCTGTCCTGAAACTACATAGAGCAGGCTGGCCTTGAACTCATAGAGATCTGCCTGCCTCTGCCTCCTGAGCACTGGGATTATAGGTGTGCAAGCACTGTAACTAGGCATGAACAAGGGTGGAGAACCAGGGCGTGAGTCAGAGGCTGGAATCCAGAGGACACTCACCTGGCACATTGAGCTCCTCAGCAAGCCGCTGGCCAAAGGCCTTGGCACAGAGCACACACTCATCCATGCTGACGCCCCTCACCGGGATGAAGGGGCAAACATCTAGAGCACCCATTCGAGGATGCTCTCCTGCAGAAAGAGGGGGCGGGCCAGTAAATGGCTTGAGAAATGGTGATGACCCTTACAGCTGTCCACACTGACCACAGAGAGCAACCAGCCTCAAGCAGTTGGCAGCTGCAGTTCCTCCCAGGCTGACCTATCAGGGATGTCGCAGAATGTGGAGACTGTCCTTGTTGCTATGGCTGACAAGAAAAGACCCTTAAAGCCCTGGGGAAGGGATAGGACTTGAGTAAGGTGGCCCTTTATATTATCTTTTTCCTAAAAATGAAAAAAAAATCACAAAACCAAGGCCCCCAGTGAGACCTTGCTAGGCTGATGGTCTTGGCCCATCCCTGCCTTCCCTGGCAGCAGAAAATCCACACCCCATCCAGAACACTGTGTGCCTGGACCCTCCTAACTTTGACAAACCTGATATCTATTCCTTGCCATGACCTCTGAAAACCCCTCCCAGAAAACGGGCAGAGGCCATGGCCTTTTGCCCAGCTCTGTGTGTCCACTAATCTTTGACCCTGCCCACCCCTTCCATTGTGTTTGGTTTCAAGGCAGTTGACAAGTTTGTTTCCTGGCACGGTGTTCTCTTCTGGCTCCCCCCAGGCCTCAGTCTATTCAAAGACCTTGGGCTGAGTGAGCTCCTGTCGATTATCACAGAAGCACTGACTCCAAAGAGAGAGGAGCCCACTCTATTCCATAGCCTATGTCCTAGGGCCGTCTCCCTGCCTTTCCTGGCACCAAGGCACACCATACAACCCTGACCCTAGACCTGAGGGAGCCTCCAAGGAGAAGGCTGGCATCATCCCTGTTGACTTACACCTCCTGTCATGCCCTGGGCCTGCCCCTCTCCTGGGACACCTTGGAAACTGCGGCATGGGTCTCAGTTCAGCCTGGCTCGGTTCAAGTCCCGAGCTGCCTCTCACCCTTGTGCTTGCTCATGTCGATGAGCTGCGAGGCTGTACGCGCCGCACTGAGGGCTCCCTCGACCACGCACTCTGGCTGCCCCACGAAAGTGTAGACGGTGCGGTTGGTGGAGGGCCCAGCATCAACGTCCAGCAGCACGCAACCTGGGGTCTGGGAGATGGCTCGAGAAATGGCATCAATCACCTGGAGATAGAGGCCGACACCATGCCTCAGCCCCCACTTGGAAAAGCTGCCATCCCATACACAGGTATGATTGATCTCAAGAAAATGGTTTAAAGGATCCCCCAAGAGCTCACATGGCACAACAGGAAAGGACTCCCATGGCAGTGACCATGGCCAGCCACCCCAGGCTTAGGTTGGCCCAGAAAAATAAATAGTGGCCCTGCTGCCAACACCCAGATACTCAGAGAGGGTGGACAGAGCCTTCCAGTGGGAATAGCCAGGATGGGGGCTGTTAGCTAATTTGAGAAAGAAGTCTGCTGAGCTCAGAACCTTCCAGATCAAAACTGAAGCTCAGAACTCAAACCCTATCCTGAAGACCCCTCTGTGCCTCAGTTTCCCCAGCAGGAAAGGAGGTTGATAATAGTGCATGCCTCTCAAGGCTTCAGCAGTAAGGCAAGGAGTTAATACATGTAGAGATGACCTTTCCTGTGACCTCTGCTCTCTGCATCTATGTTCAAGGTGCTTCATTTTCAAGCAGGAACACTGAGGTCAAGGGCTCCACCAGAGCCCCACCAGGAGCACTCCAAATTCCCGATGCCCGCTGCCATTCCTCTACAGTCTCCCACATCCACGGAATGTTCCAGAGCTGATGGAAATGGCTCCTTTGAGGGATGTAATGGACTGGGATTCTGCCCGTCCTGGAAAGGCAACCTTCTCCCATACCAAACTCACTCCCTTCCTCGTGACCTGAGTGCCCACACAGCCCTTCAGGAGCCTTACCTCTTGGTTGTTGCCCTCTGAGAAGTTGGGGACACATTCCACCAACTTGGACATGGCCAGCACCTGAGTTCAGACGCTCCCCTCAAGAAGCTGTAGATGGACGTGGAGTGGCAGCTCTCGAGTGGCCCTGGGGCCTTTATACCACCTCATAGCTAGTTTCTCATTAACCAGGGATAGGGTAAAGGGAGCTGGAGAGCACAGGGGTGCTCTCTGGGATGAGCTCTTCAAAAAAGCACATGATTAGGGTTTGAGGGGCACATGCTGAGGACCCTTGGAGACCCTAGAGGGACAAAGTTCAAGCTAGGGCATCAGGCCAGCTTGAGCTCAAGGCCCAGCTTGAGCCAGGGCTTTGTGTTGACCATCCAGGTGACCCTGTATTGTCCTCAGAATGTGGCCTTCCTGGAGGAGGCCCCATGGGACTCTGAGGTTAGTATCTTTTCATATGGGGGCTGGTCCTCAGGGATGTCGGGGAGGAGAGGCCATGCGTGAGGCTCGGCATAAAGCCTGGTCCTCCACAGATGTCAACTTAGCCCAGGGAGGCAGAAGAGGGGGTGAGGTGAGAGCAAGGATGTGTCTGACCACGGGAATTTAGGTGTGAGTGTTTGTGTGTATAATAAACTTAGGTGTACATATGGGTGAACTGTGGGTGGCTGAGTGTACAGGAATGTGTGAGTGTATACAAGGGCCTGTGTAAATATGTAGGGGTTGGTGTGAATATGCAAGAGGGTGTTAGTGTGTATATGCAGGTAGATATTAGGCTACATGCACTATGTGGATGTGGGCATGTATGTGGATGGATGTATTTGCAAGTGGATGGATGTTAGTGTGTGTGTGTGTGTGTGTGTGTGTGTGTGTGTGTGTGTGTGTGTG